AGTAATCAATGTTGGGAAGGGTAGGGAAAAAAAGATTCTAACATATTTCCAGTGGGTATTTTACTAGAACATTCTTTTTTAAATTGGGGGGTTGGGGAAGGGGAACAGTGCTGGGGAATTGTGGAGGAAGACCAGCCAAGTTGTTGTTCTTCAATCTTAGTTGTGGAGGGCGCCAGTTGCCATATGGCTGCCCAGCGGCAGCTTGTAGCCTCTAAGCTCAAGGTGTTGTGTTACAATCTTAGTTGTGGGTGAGCGTAGCCACCATCCCATGTGGGAGTTGAACCCAGCAGCCTTGTTGTTAAGAGTGTGTGCTCTATCCACTGAGCCATCCAGGCGGCAGCTCTGCTCAAGGTGCTAAGTTCAGTCTTAGTTGCAGGTGGCCATAGCCCAGCATCAAACAGTCAATCTTGTTACACCAGCTGAGCCATCCTACCCCCTGTTGGCAGCTCAGCTCAGGCACAGCGTCACTGGCCCATGTGGGAATCAAACTGTCGGCCCTGCTGCTCAGAGCTCGCGCTCTTAAGCTATTGGGTTGTCGGAAAAGTCATGGCGCATTTTTGCAAAAAAAACATAGAAAAAATATGTCATGACTTTTCAGACAATCCAATAATTCTTAACCAACTGAGCCACTTGGCCGGCCTAGAACAACAATCTAAAGGACAACTTGTAATATGTACCAAAAATCTTAAAAATATACATACCCTTTGGCTAATAATTTTTACACTTCTGGGAATTTATCCTAAGGAAATATCTGAGAATTGCCCACAAAATAATTATGTCAAGGATGTTAAAGATGTTAGCCACAGCATTATTCATGTAAAGTGAAAAACTAGAAACAACCTATCTCCAGTACTAGGACACTAGTGAAATGACATAAAACCACCATATAATCTAATACTATAGAGACAGTAAAACATCCGCTTAGAATAATAATGACACGGGAAAACACTTATATAAGTTAAAAAAGGCTTCAAAATATAAAGCCTACTGTTTTAAAGAATATATAGGGCCGGCCGAGTGGCGCGATGGTTAATAACTGGCTTAGGATGCCAGAGAGCCCCGGTTCGGATCCCACATATGACGGCCAGTGACACTGCCCCCTACAGCTAAGATGCTTTATAACAGCTCAACCTGGAGCTGGGCTGCTGTGAGTCACCGGCGATGGCGTAGGCTGCAGCCCCTGTGGCAGTGGGTTGCCATGGGCTACCATATGTAGCCAGCAGCCAGCGTGAGCGGACAGCAGCCGCAGTGAGCGGCCATCCAGAAGCCGGTGACTGATCTACCTCACCCGGGAAGAGTGCAATGATGGTGCCAACTTGGGCCAGTGAAGCAATATCCTCCACAACTAGACTGAAGAACAAAACGACAGCGACTTGTCTGTTCCCCTTCCCCCAATTCCCCAGCACTGTTCCCATCCCTCAATTCCCCAATTAAAAAAAAATCTTTAAAAACAAAACAAAAAACAAACCTACAGGGGAGGCCGGCCGAGTGGCGCATTGGTTGAGTTGGCTTGGGACTCCAGCTCTGATCACATGAGGGTCAGGGACTGCTGCACCCTCTACAGCTAAGATGGTGAACAACAGCTCAACCTGGAGCCGGGCTGCTGTGAGTCCCCGGAGTCGGCGTAAGCTGCAGTGGGCCTGGTTGGCAGCTGGCGTGAGCTTTCGTGAGTGGCCGTGAGCCGCTGTGAGCAGCCGTCCAATGGCTGGCTTGCGACTGCCTCTCCCAAGAAGAGCGCAATGATAATACCAACATGGGCCATTGAAACAACGTCCTCCACAACTAGACTGAAGGACAAAAGGACAGCCACTTGTCTGTTCCCCTTCCCNGCGCAATGATGGTGCCAACTTGGGCCAGTGAAGCAACGTCCTCCACAACTAGACTGAAGAACAAAACGACAGCAACTTGTCTGTTCCCCTTCCCCAAATTCCCCAGCGCTGTTCCCATCCCCCAGTTCCCCAATTAAAAAAAAAAAAAGAATATATAAACATATGTAAGTATACAGAGGGTGCCAAAAAAATGTATATGTATTTTAAGAAAGGAAACTAAACTGTATTAATATTGTAATACTTAATATATACCGATAACGAAAGATGAATACAAGTCATCTGTATACATTTTTTTGTCACCCCAGTATATGTAAATGTAGGAAATAAATGTGAAAAAATTATGCCTACAAAAATTGGTGAAAATTCATTTTATATGAAATGGAAGCAGGCAAGTTATATACTTATTGTGCAACTTATTTATTTATTTACTTATTTTTTTAATTTTAGCTGAGCCATCCTGCCACCTGTTGGCAGCTCAGTGGCTACTCAGCTCGGGCTGGGAGTCGAACCGCTGTTGCTCAGAGCTCGCACTCTTGCGCGAGCTCTTAACCAACTGAGCCACTTGGCCGGCCCTGTGTAACTTATTTAAAAGGTAATCAGATACCAGTGACTAAAAAGCACAAAAATTATTATTACTACTTTTTTTTCTCAAGATATTAAGTTCTGACAAAGCATAGGAAAAATATTAAATGTGAGGATGAATAAACAGTTGTAACTTCCCAATATGGTTCACTATTTGTTATAATAAAGGGAACATAAATATTCAGAGGTAATCTAACTATTTTATATAAATTAATACTGTCAGCCACTTTTATTTATCAAATTATTTATTGGACATACTAAAGGGTACTCAAATTACTACCTCTCCTTCACTTGACCTCTCTCTGGCAGATATAAGTATTACTAAACAGTACAGATGAGACAGGTAGGAGAAAAAAGAGGTGCTTAATTTCAGAATGACTGCTAAATGTATCTTTATGCATGCCTAATAAATTGTCAGAGAAATACTGAGAACTAAACCAGTAACTATGTCAAAATTGTAGTACATACTTGTTTAGCAATTTTAAAACTGGTCAAAGAAAAAGCTGCCTGATATATATATATATATATATATATATATATATATATATATATATATATATATATAAAACTAAATACTTAGATGATTAATACACCTAATATTGGTTTTTCATACCCTTGACTTTTTATTAGAGGTATAAGTTTTGGAGTTGCTGAATATTTGGCGAACATCCTTATAAAATTCCAGAGGACTACCATAGTTTCCTGCTTCCAAAGTTTCTTTCACAGTGCTGAAGTCCATAGGAGTGTCTATAACACCTTGATAATCCTACAAAGAAGAAATTTGTTATTAAATACACAGGCTGGGTAACAATACTACATAATACTATGGGACTGAGATTTGCATCACCAAGTCACCATGAAATAAAGAAATTGCTTTTCAATCTGCCAACTGCCTCCCCCAACCTGAAACCATCCATTTAATAGAGCTCTTTTGGTGACTCTGAAAAGCATCAGTGGCCTGTGCGAGGGGCTTAGCTTTCACCCTGCAATCAATAACCATATGACTCTCTCAAGGGACAGAATAGAAAATCCATAGCCACTGGCTTCATTCCTATAGAAGTCCATAATAAAAAGTCCATTTTTTGTTTAAAGGTTAAAGTAACCCCCAATTCCTCGGCAAACTGCTCAATGAAAGTAGAAGATGGATAATTCACATATAATTAAATAGTTCCATATCACAAATTAGCTACATATTTCCAAGACATTCCCAGCTATGAGGGCATTGTACCTAATATGTTGTTAGTTGAAGGTCAAAGTCAAATTGGCCATGTCTGTGCCTCTCTCCTATTGTTTTTTTTTAACGAATGTGACACTTTTGCTTCATCTAAGGTCTTCATTCTCATATATTCAGAATTAGTTTGATTTTGATTAGGGGACGGGGACGTTTTTATTTTAACCTAAAAATTCCAAGTCTACTTAAGATATTTCTAGGGTTATCATGGAATTGAATCTGAAATACAGACCTATATATACCACAACCATCAATATGGTTTTTACTCCAACATGGTTTGGAGTAAAAACATTGTCAGTATGAGATTCCCTCATCTTATTTAGAATCATTACAAAGTAGAATCACCACATTTCTCTCAAAAGGGAAGCCAAAGAACCAGAAAAGGGGCAGAGGAAAGATATAAAAAGAGAAAAAATATTGTTTGAAGTATGAGAAACCACAATTGCTCTTAATGTGTCTTTTTAATTTTTTTTCCTGGAAATCATAAAAATCAAAAGTATATTCCAACACAGCATGGCTTATGAAACAAAGATTTTCATAGAATAAAAATGTTGGAACTTTGTGTAGTATGATAACTAAAACTCAAAGGACCCAGTCAGCCTGCTGAATGAAATCCCAGTAGGAATAATCAGCTGTAAGTACAGACATAATTGTATTGTGTAATTGATGTATTATACTTTGCTACACTAGTTTTAGATCTATAGTAACAAATGCCTATGCAGATGGTACAAAACACTCTTGAGAAAATATGCTGATTTACAAAACAAAAAATTAACAACCAAAAATATCAAACAAAGGTAAAAAGGGATTGAACTGAGATGAGAAACAGCTTGGCCAATTATAAAATGTTTATTTACAGTATGGGGATTTTTAGAGTAAAACAACCAGTATATATATTTTAAGAGACTACTAGGCCTACCTCAGAAAGAGATGGATCTTGTTGTCTTTCTGGAACAATTGACTCTGAGGATTCTCCCTCTTGCTCTTGATGCCCCTATTAGGGTAAAGAAGATATACTGTGTTTCCAGACCATTACAACAAAATATCAAGACTTGCAATACAATTATTATTTAAAGCTCAAAGATCCATAAATAGGAATTATGTTTTTTTACAACTGTACTTTAAGATGAAGGACTTCTACATTCACCATTCTCTTTTGCCATGAAAACACAAGACTAATTTATTCTACCCAAACTCCCTACAAACGAACAAAGCAAGCTTTGCTGAACACAATCTTGTTCATTATGTGAATAATTTTTCCCAACTGAAAGCTGTGTATGTAAAAAATACTGATGTTTAGTAATTTCAGAGGACGGTCTGATGTATTTCTGAAATATTTCTGTACCTTTATCTGTAAAAAAGATTTGTTACCTATACTAAAAGGTTATTCAACATATTAGAAAAGGAATCCTATAATCTAAGCTCTTATGCTTTTATCTTTGATGAAAAGTAGTATGGTATATTGGTTACTCTAAGTGATCATTTTGGATAACATTTAAATTAACATAAATTAAACAGGGCTGACATATGTTACCAAGGGTCTACAGTAGGTTGAAGTATATTAGAAGTTAGTAAATTGTATTAAACAAATACCCTAAATAAAAAGCAGAAAGGCATCACAAAGATATTTAGATTCAAATGTGGTTTAAAAATATATAATTTATACACAAAGTACATGACAGGCATTTTAAAAAGTCATGACTAATCACACTACCCACTTTCACAATTCAAATATACACAAAGAAGGAAGAGGAAAAAGGAGGGAAGGAGGGAGAAAGAAGGTAGGAAAGAAGGGGGAAAGTAGCTCTTAACTAGATCTTAGCAAAGACATTTATGGGAAATTACATATTGGCAATTATTTAAACAACTGTATGCTTACTAGGTAAGAGAGATGATCAGCTGGCTGTCGAAATGGCTCTGAGTCTTCACGCTCATAAATAAGGCTCAACAGTTCTTTGCATTGTTTTCTCCAAGCATCAGGATTACACTTTAAAGACTGTCTTCTGCCTCGGCATTTGACCTGCAGATTTTAATAGAATCATATTTAAAAGCTCTTTAATTAACTCTTTACTGATTTTCTAATGTCAACATATCTATGCAAGATAGAGCAACTGCTATTTAAAAGTTTATTCATTTAGACATCATTCTCCTCGGCAGAAATATAAACAAAAACTAGATTCATGAAAATAGCAAGAATTCTAGTATTATGAATTTTCATTTTAAGAAAACCTGAAACTCAAATGCAGAGGAACAATTGTTTTTTTCCACTACATGGTTAACAATTTTAATACCTTAATATTTGCTGGTAGTTAAGTATACTTGACCATGACACCATAATCCCATAAACTTTTCAAAGTAACAGTTGAAATATATATATATATATTTTTTTGAGTAAATCCTTTATGGTCATGATAAATGCTAGCCTTTACCACTTGATGCCTTTTTTATATGATCTCTTTCAGTATTTGAAAGTTTTCTCTCAGATAGAACAAATATTTGTCTAATTATTATAGAGGGGAAGTGTACAACACAGAGCTAACATAACAGACTCGAGGCCACTATCTTTAGCAGAGCTTGCTTGCAGGGTTGTCCCTTGGCTGGAATCTGGAAACTTGGCACCTGAACTGTTTTCTAAATAATAAAGGTGGTCTACTGGATCCTCATTGTTTGTACAAAAAAAGTGATTTGTATTGAACACCTAGTTTCCGAAATTTTCCTGCTTTCTGTGAGTCTAGAATCTTGGCATGTGGTAGTCAGATGGCGTTTATATAATCAACTCCCAATAAACTCCCTTAGGGACTGAGTCACTAATCACATACACGTTGCTCCATTTTCACTGCTGGGGGAAGAGTGTGCTCTGTGTAGCCCCACAAAGGAGAGAGCATAAAGAAACCCACACACAGATTCCTCCAGATTTGCCTGTATCTTTTTCCCTATGATCCAACTGCATATCCTTAACAGTGTCATTGTAATAAAACTTAGCAATGAGTAACAACTGTATATACTGAGTTTTGTGAGTCTTTCTATTAATAGCAACATTTCAAACAGGTGGAGTTGGTGTTAGGGATTCCCAACACAGGAAGCTTGAAAAGTTTTCTTATCAGCAGTCCATTTATTCACTCACCCTTCTTCCAGATGAAGTACCAGGACCATCTGAATCTAAATCAACCATTTCTGTATCCTAAAATTAAAAGGGAAGAGAGAGAGAAGATGTTAAGTTACACTCAAAGTCTTACAAATTTGATGAACATTTATAAAGGAATGGCAAATACAATCAAAATTAACTCCCTCATTGGAGCAGGCAGCAGAACAAAGGTTGGAGAAATTCTCTCCAAACTTTGAATATATGTTATATATAAGCTGGAAAATACACTGGGAGAAGAATAAACAGGGTTTCTCTTTAAATCAGAATAGGAAATAAGGGGAAAAGTATAGCGACTGGTAACTGAACTTGTACCTAAATGCTAGTATTTAAACAAAACTTACACTATATGACATACTAATTTAATATATTATAACTATGAATTACTCGTGATTAATCTTTTGCTATTTCAAGAAATACATTTATTTTCTATAGGGACGTGTATTAAAACCTAAGATTTGGTTAAGTAATCCCCCGAAGAATAGTTTTTAATACAAAGAGAAAGGCCCACATACCATTATTCACCTGGTGATTGTGAAACACATAGTTAATGCCTAGGATAAAAGTAGCTCATGGGCTATTGGTGCGCTTTTTTAATAAAGTTGTTGAATTACATTTTAGTTTAATTTTCTATTCTAACCCAAGGAATGCTACTCTGAGGAGATCAATATCCATTCATGAAAAACACTCTCAACGAACTAGACATAGATGGAAAGTACCTCAACATAACAAAGGCCATATAGGACAAGCCAACACTAACATTATGGTCAACACTGAAAAGCTAAAAGCTTTTCCTCTAAGATCAGGAAAATGACAAGGATCCCAACTCTAGACAATTTTATTTAACACAGTATTGGAAGCTCTAGCTAGAGCAATTAGACAAGAATAAAAAAAGGTATCCAAACCAGAAAGTAAAAAAGTAAAACTGTCTCTATTAGCAGATGACATGATATTACAAATAGAAAACCCTGAAAACTCTACCAAGAAACTGTTAGAACTAATAAATTAATTCAGTAAAGTTTCAGGATACAAAGTAATACCAAAACAAACTATGTTTCTATACACTAACAGTGAAATTAAGAAAACAATCCCATTTATGATTGTATCAAAAAAATACCTAGAAGTAAATTTAACCAAAGAGGTGAAAGACCTGTACACTGAAAAATATAAGAGACTGATGAAAGAAGTTGAAGAAGATACAAATAAATGGAAACATACTCTGTGCTCATGGATTATAAGAATTAATATTGTTAAAATGTCACTATTACCCAAAGCAATCTCCGGATTCAATGCACTCCCTATCAAAATTACAATGCCATTTTTCACAGAAATATAAAAAAAACACAATTAAAATTTGTATGGAATCACATAAAAAGAGACTCCTAGTAGCCAAAGCAATCTTAAGAAAGAAGAACAAAGGTGGAAGCATCATACTTCCTGATTTCAAACTATATTACAAAGCTATAATGAAAAAGAGTATGGTATTGGCAAAAACAAACAAAAGAAAACCAGACATAGATTAATGGAACAGAATAGAGAGCACAGAAATAAACCCATGCACATACAGTCAATTTACAACAAAGGAGCCAAGAATACACAATGGGGAAAGAAGAGTCTCTTCAATAAATGGTGCTGAAGACACTGGATATCTATGCACAAAAAAAATGAAACTGGACCCCTACCTTACAGCATACATAAAACTCAACTCAAAATAAATTAAAAACTTGGACGTGAGACATGAAATCATAAAACTCCAGAAAACATAGGGGGTAAGTTCTTCGACATTGGTCTTGGCAATGATTTTTTTGTATTTGAGAAAATCAAAAGCCAACAAAAGCAAAAATAAACAAGTGGGATCACATCAAACTAATAAGCTGTTCTGTATAGCAAAGTAAACCATCAACAACATAAAAAAGCAACCTACTGAAAGGGAGAAAATATTTGCAAATCATATTATCTGATAAGGGGTTAATATCAAAAATATATTTTAAAAATTCAAAAAACTCATACAACTCAATAGCAAAAACAACCAAAATCAAACGAATGAATGATCCAATTAAAAAATGGGCAAAGGACCCTATATCTGCTGGTGGGACTGCAGACTGGTGCAGCCATTATGGAAATCAGTATGGAGGTACCTCAAAAATCTGAAAATGGAACTATCTTATGACCCAGAAATATCACTCTTAGGTATTTATCAAAAAAATCCCAAGACATTAATCCAAAAAAATATATGTACCCCTATGTTCATTGCGGCGTTATTCACAATAGCTAAGACTTGGAAACAACCAAAATGCCCATCAGTAGATGACTGGATTAAGAA